CAGGAATGCAGACTGTGTAATTTATAGCACCATTCTATTTTACTACTCCTTAAATTTTTGTGACAATAAAGTTTCTTGTTATGATCTTTAAAACGCTTGCAAAGTCTTGAGATCCAGACAAAAAGCTGAACTGAATGATTTTTCAAGTCTAGGGACAAAAAAGGCATTCTTCTAGAGCTTGTTCTCCTTCAGCTGTAATCTGTCAGAGGAACGACAATCAATTACACCTCTTAAGGATATTGTCCCTACAGAGAAAGCCATACAATAGAGATACACTTCATGCTATATTTACAACTTCTTGTAAAACACATAACAACAATAGTTCAGAGCAGACAAAAAAGATGCTCATTTGCTGCAGAGCTTTAGTAACACCATAAGAAACTGTGTTTTGAGAGTCAAACAGATGGAAGCATTAAGTCATCTTTGCTTGAACAGGAAAACTGGTTCATGGAGACTGAAAATTGCATAGGAACATGGAAACAATTGCTAAAGAGAAACAAAAATTTACCAAATTGGAAAGATACGGGATGAAGGTAAGGCTCTGTGAGGTAATATTTGATCTCAGCAGAATTAAGTGATACCTAACGCAGGAAATAGCAGATGCAATGACAGATGTCAAGTTCAGACAAATGATAACTTCAGTGATAGAGGGATCAAGTGCATGGGAGCTTAAGCAGGAGCACTGGGATGAACTTGAAGACTCTAAAGCTCTCTGTGGCTCACGTGCTGAAACTGGAGTGGAGCTCTCTCTGGATGCCAGGAGTCTGACCTTACATTTAGCCTCTTTATAGTTTTTCTATGAGAAAACAGAAGATTTTTTTCTTCCTATTTATCCTGAGGGGCCAATACTTTCCCACCATCCTCAGTGAGGTGTCACAGAGCCAGCAGCAGAACAGTATTAGGTTGGTAGCATTCATTTTCATCCATTGTATCTCCAAGTTAGCTCTATCTTTTAAGACTCCCTCCTTCCCAAAGGTAATTAGGCTGCTCTGCCAGAGGCAATATAGTCCTTTCCTCCTCCAGTCCCTCTCACCTTCCCACTCTTTGTACCTACTTGCTACCTCTCTATACAGGACACTACAGTTCCAGGCAAACCTGCCATTCCCCAGGAGAGCCAGGAGTCCCCTCAGGTTTTCAGTTCTGTTTCGTTTGCTTGAACTCCCTTAACAATAAAGCATTTGATTTCTTCTCTTTAGAATTAGCAGCAGCCTCCAGCTCTGATCTGCTAATGATAATTTTAATTAGTTCGAGTTGCTTACTTGCCTCTCCCATGGAAAGCAGCCAGTCCCATTACTCCACAGATATATATGAAAAAGGGGGTCATTTCACTGTAAAACTTGCCTTTAAGCAGCAGCTTGTTTGGATTGCACTGGAAAACATAAACCTAAACCAAGCCCACTGCACAAGCCCAGACCCATAATGGAACACAAAAATAATCACGGACTTTGCACAGTGAAACCTCCTACTCTTCTTAGTGTCCTCCTGGAAAGGTATTCACTCCAGACCCAAGTTTGGCTCCTCCACTTTCACCCTTCTGAGTCCCTCCATGTAGACAAGCCCTGTGAGAGCTAACATGAATCTGTGATAAGTTTATGCAGTACTCTGGGGTTTCCCAAGGCTCATCACAGAAAGGGGTAACCTCAGAAATCAACCAAAAGCCCAGAAAGATGAAATCTTCTGTTCTGACTCCCATTTCCCTCTCTGGATTAATTTCAGTCCCTGGGGAGATGCATGGGGACACACTACAAAATCTTAGCTATTTACACAGAATTACTTAGAAAATAAAAAAGAAGAAAAAAACATGGAGGATCTCCCACAGAAACTCATTCTCAGTGTTTTGTACAAGTAGGTGAAAATCCTCTTTCTCAGAACACTGCCATTTGCACTTATTAGGAATAATATAAAAAACCAAAACGCAAACAAAAAGAGTTAGGAAGAAAGTCTAAAAGAAACGCTGATCCCCATGCAAAAGGAAACAGCAAATTTCCAGAAGCTTTTGGAAAGGTAAATAAATAAATACAAAGGCTTGTGCGGTTGAGATGTTTCAACAATTATCAGGGCAGTCCAATATACACACTGAAAAGAACATATTCCTGTGACACAGTAACAATGCTGTGCTTTATTTGTGCTGAATTCCCCAAATTAATGATAAAGCATGGCTTTTATGCTTCACACTTAGAAGAAAAATAGTCTCAGGTTCACAGTTACATGCATATATCAACAGCCTAATTTGGTGATCAGCCTTAAAGAAAAATAAAGCCGATGATTTGTGAACTCAGCTGTTTCTTAAATCTAAGTTAAATTTAACCAATTTTTTCTTCCCTTCTGTGAAATTGTCTAGATTGTCCAAAGCAGAGTTTCCATAATATTTTCTATTTACTTTAGAGTATGAAATCCTGAGTATATTCTAGTTTCAGTACAGTTTCAAATGAGGTATAAACCACTGATTTATCTACACACAAAACTATCAAGCCAATGTCAAAGAATAACTGCCAAAGGAACCTACTAAAAAGATCTAGAAACTGAGCTGAAAGCCGTGAAAGCTCACTTAACCCTTTCACTTAACCTACAGGAAAGATGTCTTGTTATTCAAACAAAACAATTAGTTATTTTAAAATACCAGGTAAAATCCACCTTTGCTTTTGCCCATTTATGCTTTTTCTTCTAAAATAACCTGACTGTACTCTTGCCACGCTGCAGTAAGGAAGATCACTCAGGCTTAATCTTTCAAGGCTTCTCATACAATCTGCTGTACCTTTCCAAGTGAAGGAACAAGAGAACAGGTCATGTCCTAGACATTTCCAAATGCATTTAAATTGTGTATCTTACTCTTTCTCAGCTCTTCAAGATAATTATCATTAATTGCGCTGATTCACATGAATGAAGGAAAGACTATACCTCACATTCATATACTACCTTGAAAACTTGTCTAAACACCTGATATACAGCCATGATCCTCCTCATTCAGGAGAAAGACTGCCTTTGTTTGGTTTAGGTGAAGTATTTCTGAAGTGACATGAAGCAAACCAGAATCCTCTGTAGAACATCCACCCACAGAAAGAGTGAGGTAAAGAGATCACCCAAGGAAGAAAGCATATGGCAGGCTGGAAGAGATATTCTCATTTCCCTTGTGGGCAGGTAAGGCCAGGTCAGGAGGCTGCTAAAACAGTCACATGCCGATGAGCCAGAGATGAGAGGTAAATCGCACCATACATACATGGGAGGCAGGTTTAGAGGGGATGTTGGAGCTTCATGAAAAGGCTTGGAGGTTAATAAGGCTAGTGAGCACAACCTGCTATGGCAATTTCCCAGCCAGAGGGAGGATATAAGCGCTGAGACACTGGAGCAGTCTAGAAGGGAAAAGATCTCTCTCTGATGGAGAGAGAAATTCCCATAATTTCAGTGTAATTATAAAGACGAATTTTGAGAACTTTCTGTACCCCTATAAGCTCAACAGAAGGTAAGAGCTTGTCATGGGCGAGAGCTTACTTGGAGTGCTAGGTCTCCGGTTCAGCTGTTTGTTCATGCTTTTGGCTTGTTTTCTGTAGGGAACTCTGCAGGAAGAGATGGTACAAGAGAAAGCAGTGAGATGGGCCAAGACTCATGTTGACAGCCTGCTTACACAGCACCTTAAAAAAACTGAATCACTAAGCAGCAGTAGGCCCAGCACCAGCAAGAACAAACAAGCTTTAGGACTGAAGAATGTCCTACTGTAAAGCACATAGATGACTACCACACACAACTTGACCCATTCCAAGGTGTTGCGAATGGGTACAATTTTAGGACTGAGGAATTATGTTCAGGTGGGAAATTCTTAGCAGCCAATGCAAATGGACTGGGATGGGCAGCAGCCAAAAGTTAGTGGAAGGGGCATCACTTCATATTTTATTTGCTGATGATTTTCTTGAGGTATCTTCCTAAGCTTGATTGTATTTGCTTTATGAACCCAGTCCCATGATCACACGGCAGGTGGTTTATGCACCTTTCTATGCCGGAGAAACACTCAAATTCCATCTACACACAGTATTTTAGAAACAGCTGGGAAGGTTAACAGGTTCCTTACCAGATTTAATTCACATTTACTCAGTACTGCTTGATTTATTCTCAATGTCTAGAAGTTCAGCCAATCTGCTGCATCATTCTGCACTTATGACACAATATTCAACTTCATAGTATTCTTTATTTACTGTAGCTAGACACTGAAAAACACATCACTAGCCAGCTAGGATAGCAGGGCACTTAAAAGAGAGAAAGGATGTGTAGGATTAATTGCTGTAATTTCTGGAAACCCGCAGGATGTAAGAAGACCTGGGATGAGCTTTGCTGTTAGCTTTTGCATATATTTCAGGTGGATGACCCATTTAATTTCAGTGAAGGTTGAAATATGGTCTTAGAACTAGCGTGGTTTATTGTAGCCTCACCTAAACCTCTGCAAGAAGAGAGGCAACTCATGTATAGGGCCACACACCTTCCTTGCAAGGTAGAAAGCAGCTTGCAACTGCCATTTGCTGGGGATCTGGGAGGAACAGCTTCATTAGCAGAGAAGTAGTGGTTCAGGCACTTGTCCTCCCACCAGCCCATCTCATGTCCCAAACCTCCTGGCTCCAGCCCTCTCACTCTTACAGAGGTCCTCCCTCTTGGGCACAGCAGGCAGAGCAGGAAGGCTGTCCCATCCACGTGTGATGGATGAGACAAGGCAGGGCTGAGCATGAGGGGCATGCTAGTGAATTTGCAGCCTGCGCAGCTTCCCAGTTGCTGCCACTCCATCCTCTCACCAGCACCAAACAGAAGCACTGCAGGACTGCTAGGGCTCTGTTTTTATCATTAGGCATGCTGCCGCTGTCTTGCACTTGACCTGAAGAAGGGACTAGGCTCACAGAGATAAAGGCTCTGAGCTAAAGGAGCTCAAGTAGTAGACACCTTAATTTTCCAGGGAGTACAGTTAGTCTCTGAAGACCAGATTCAGTGTAATGTTTTTTGGAAGCATAACTGTATCACACAGCGTGGTAAAAAAAAAAAAATTAAAAAATCCCTCAAGAATTCTACCTACCTGCTATGCTAGCAAATGGCAGGGCTTGATATAGCAGCACCAGCACCAGCCAAAAGCTTTTGTTTCCATTTCTTGTCTTTTCAGAAGTTTAGGATGAAATTTTGCAGACTGGGAAAAAAACCATCTCTTAGCTGCATCGCCACTAGAGGACTCTGCTGGCACAGCGATGCTGGCTTTGCTACAGTCCTCATCTGCTCTCCTGTGGACAAGCTTCAGAAAGGAAGGAAATGAGCTATCACGGGCTAATTTTATCTGCCTCATTACATCATTTGGGCTCAAAATCTTAAAAGTGATGGTTGGAAAGATTCCTGACATACAGAGAAAAAAATGTATAGTTTAGTGAAAGATATTGCCCTAGCTCACATGTCTGTACTCCTATGGAAAAAATCCCTGTGCAGACATTGGAGAAACAGCTTCACCTGAGCTTGGTGGAGGGTGTGCCACGTGGAGGAACCTCGTTTTGGCAAAGCCTTTGGGTTTGTGTTTCTAGCAAGGAAAAAATTTATTCCTCTATCATTAGGTGCTAAAGGACAGCCCAGGGAAGGTGTTGCAGTTCACCTTCTGCAGCATGGTGTCATGATACTTGAGACAGGGTGAAAGTGGAGACTCCATCTGTAGATGTGATGACCATGACGAACTGCGTCAGGGGACTATGAGAACAAATAATGGGCAGCCTTGGAGGAAGGCCAAATTACTAGAAACAACAAACTACATTGCTGCAACTTTTAAATTACAACCTAGATTAGGGAGTATAGAATAGGCGTTCAACAAAAAGCCATGCTGAGCTGGATGCTAGGAGCCAGTGCCATAGCCAGCGTATGTTCCAAGAGAAGGAGGCTCTTCTGATCTATTAGGTAAGAAAATTTTAAGTCACCTACATGCCGCTGTCACATGTTCCTGGGAGGTCACCGAGATCACTGCCAATCAATCAGACTTGGGAGATGACATTAACCACTGCATTGCCTTTCTTTGCACACTGACCATACCCACCTGCAGTACTCGGCAATGGGGTAACAAGCAGAAACGACTGCAAGACATTTGAGGGGAGTCACTGAGCTACTACTTCTGAAGATAAACACAGCCTTTCACCTACCTCCCCGTGCCCCGTATTTCCCACACAAGGTCTGGTGTCCCTTTGAGAGGACGTCACAGCAGGACGTGAGCTCCAGCAACAGGGTCCAGCCTTCTGCTTATCTGTGCCGTGCCTGCGGCCACCACCTCACAGCAGCAGCTCAGATGTCTTCACCCCAGGCATTGTGCTGGGTCCCTGCTGAGAAAACACCTCCCATCGGCTGCCACTGAGGGGGCTGCGGGAACTGCCCATGGCCACAGAAACGACATGTGCTCTGGCTCTTCTGGCAAGACCTCTACTCTTCCTGCTCTGTACATGTACTTGTCTGGAAGGCAGGAGAGCAGGAAGAAGGTCTAGGCCACAGCTCCATGTCCAAAATCAGATCACAGTGTGGGGTGAGGTGGGACATTTCTTCCTGAGGAGGAAGACAGGTGGCATGAGCTACAAGGGGAGCCTCCAGGTGGGGAAGGGGAAATGCACACCAAAACGTGGGAGAGACGAGCCTGGGTTCCAATGCAGTTTTGATACTGCCATGGAGTTTTTAAAGTGACTGATCTGGTGCTTTCTTTTTTCATTGTAATCCAAAAATATTTCCTGTTTTTTTGTCAGCAGAAAGCCCAGAAATAATTTTCTGGTGTTTCTGCATTGGTACTGAATTCAGTGGATCCAGAAGAGCTTATAACAGCTGAGAATGTGTTTCATACCCAGTTTTAGGGCTAAGTCCTCACCCTTCCCATTCAATAGGTAACTCCTCCTCCCCCATCTCACCATTCCACACACTGAGCACTGCCTTACAGAGTCTTCAGGTGCTTTCTGTAGTCAGTGGTAACAGACAAGCCCCTTCCAAGGGGTATGCTTGCTTTCTGCCCTAGACCTTGCTCTTCCTCCTCTTATTACAACTACAACTAATTTAAACTCCACAAGTTTTAAATGGGTCGAGTTAGATTTTTAATCATCTCAAGTTAGGCAAGGTTAATACTGTTCCATGTGTCTACACTTGCATGTTAAAAAAAAAAAATATTAAAAAAATCACTTTTTAAGGCAGTTTGGAAAGATTTAATCTTATTAGATTTAAAATGAGATTTGACTTGAACAACCACTGTTAAGCTGGATTGTTTTAGCTGCATAGCCAGAAACCTCATAAGCCCAAATAATGCATTAAAGAATTAATTTCTTTACAATGCTATAATATGCAAATATATTTGAATTATAACTTTTTCATTAAAGTGACGCTGTAGAACTTTATCTAAGGGCAGTTTAAAAAACAAATTATTTATCCTGGAGTTCAGATGAAGAGGAAAGAACACGGTAATGCAAAGCACTGTGGAGGGTAGGATGTCTAATGTTCTCAACAAACAATTGTGAGGAGATAATTGCCCAAAAGAACAAACCCCAAGCCAACAACATTTCATACCAATCCTGCACTGCATTGAAGGAGTCTTCACTGGTGATATCATACATGAGGATGAAGCCCATGGCTCCTCGGTAGTAGGCTGTAGTGATGGTCCTGTATCTTTCTTGTCCAGCTGTATCCTGGAACAGAAAGGAATATTTAGGCTTTAAGACTTCAGTTCTTAGAAACAGGAGTTGTAGTTAGGTCCTATATCTAAAATAAGGCACCCACTTTTTGTTATTATACATTTTTAAATTCTCATTTGCTCCTAATTGAAATGAACTTTACTTACATTTTAGCATTAATTGGGCTTTTGCATCAACTGTGATTTGTTAAATGCATTTTGACACATGTAATATTTAAAAAAAAAATCAAAGCTGTCAACCCTTTAATTGCTCTTCTCTGCCTCAGCGCAATAATAAAATGTTAGCAGAGTTCACCGAAAGCTGACACTTCAAAGCAGAGGCAATAGAAAACAGCCCAGGACTGTACCAGGCAAAAAGACATTTATGTGTTGCAATTTAGTGTCATGATCGGGAAAATGTCCTTGAGATAGATGCTGCGGGTGACTCAGTTCTCACCTGAGGTTAGAGACAACAATTAAAGACATGATGCAATGAAAATTATACTACAAAGTGAATTTTATGTGGAATATCCCAATCATGATGTCTGAGGTGCACATACTAATTTGAGATTTATTAATCCTCTTCTGTTGGTTCAGCTTAATTCTCTTTACCCATAGAGTGCTGTAGAATACCTCTACCTGCAGTTGTCATTTCTACGTTCAGCGTGGCAGCACAAAGGTGAAACTCTGGCATATACAACAGAAGAATTTCAAAAGACTTTTGACAGCTGGAAAACATGTCAGCTACCATCTGTTGGATGTCAACAACATTTATTCCTCTCATTTTGGGTGCCTGCTCTTAAACTGAGGAATATTTCTACATCGGATCAGCAGTCCTGCAGCTAAACCATTCCCTCTGGACCTGCCTTCTGAACCAAAGAGACAAGTTTTGTGTTTAACGTCTCTCTCATTCTCACCTATCATTTGAACAAACATATTTCATCCATCTTTTGGCAAATGGCAATTCTGTGAAACAGCTTCATGGAGGCACAAGGCCTTACCTTCAAAGCACATGTTCCGCACAAGGTGTTGACTGCTTACAGGTTAGCAGTTCTGAAATGAATGGTCCTTTAGTCCTCCAAACCCGACGCTTAAGACAGCATTTACTCCAACTGGTTTAAAAATGTGATTAAAGTTTCTCTTCTCTAGAGAAAAAAACCCTGAAGGACTTATCAATCATATAGCTGGTTGGAAGAGTAAAATAAATCTATGTAGAGCACTCTTGCAGGAGTATAGAGTCGGTTTCTGATCAGACACAGCACATCACCACAACCCCAGAAAACACACAAGGTGCAGTGGGTGGGCAACTACTCAGCTTTAAAAACCTTCTGCCCACCATTCCCATACATGCAGCTTTGTTTTTGTTGCATGCAAGAGACAGTGTTGGCCCTTCCAGAACACATGCTAGCCAGTCTATGAAAGAGGGAAACATCAATGATAGCCTGTTGCTCCGCACCAGAACACCACAGAGGCTCTCTGTAGGAGGAAAGTGCTTGTAAATCAGCTCCCTGCAGTTTGCTTAAAAGGCTCTGCCTATTGCACCACCACGAGACTGTGCACAGCTGTAACGCACCGCAAATTTCC